ATCTACTTTACTCCTACGTATTTATTGTAATGCTGATCTTGCAGTTTTTTCCCCCCTCCAATTTTAAGAATGACAACAAATATTCTTTATTTCAAAAACATGGCAACTTTATTTACAATTCAAGTCAGTCACATGCAACATATTTTAATGAATATAACACAAAATTAGCAACAACAAAAAAAAGCATCTTTGCAGTTTATTTTCTTCGAAATGTTGATTAAATATACAAAAATATAGTTTACAAATACTGTACAGAAAATATTCTGCTGCAGAATTCTTACTTTTACAAAAATGTTTGTGAAATTCACAAACATTAGCAGTGTTAAAAGACTGTGGTAAGAAGGGGTGGGGCTCATGTTTACATCTGTGTGGTCACAATAATGAGAGGTGGAGCAAGAATAGGTCATCTCAGAATGAGGCAAAGGAGTGGTGTGAGGAGTTGAAAGAACATGCCGTATTGTCACGGTGGTTCACAATGACTTTGGGATAGTTGATAAATTGGCAGCTCAGTTTTGATAGTAATCATGTATTTAAAAAATGTCTGAATTACGTCATGTGCCTTAGTGACTCTTGAAAACATTCTATAAAATAACTTCTACTTTACAGAAGAAATACTGCCAATATCTTCCCAACAACCTTCTTTACTACAATAAACTCTTTATCTAGCCTAAAAAGCCTGTTCGGAACAAACAAGTTGCAAAGTTGCAACTGAAATCCTAATTTTGCCTTTTCAAAATACAATTGGTCAACCAGATATGGCACTCTCAGTAATGATCAGTAGAAAACATTAGTTTGAATATATTAAGCAAAAATGTAACCTATCACTCCTGTAGAAACACGCTAATTTGTTTTCTAGATGTTTTCAGACTGATTGTGGATTTTGAAATAGCTTGTAACGATGTCCACAAAGCATTTCTTTCCCTAATCTGCATTAGCACTAACTTAGAGCTGTTAGAAAGTACTACTGAAATGTTATGGGATTTAAACAAGCACACAATAAATAAGAAAACATTTTTTTGCCCCATTTCAGCTCTGCCTCAATGGAGAGGCGCCAATACCACCAAAACGGAAGAATCTGAAAAAGTGCAGTAATGTAATTCTTGATTTTAGACACAATTAACTACTTTCACATTATATCGACACAGATGAACCACAGCTCTCTATATGCATACATTCGTGATCAGGGTGAATCTTTAAGACCTGCTGTGTTACAAATGCCAAGAGATGAAGGAGAGGTCCTAATTTAGGACTCAACAATATTTGTCCATGATAAGGAATTACAAGTCTAAAGGAAACCCTCAGTGTTTTACACTTTAAGACCAGTACCAAAAAAAATGTATTTTAATTTCTTCATACACAATGCAAATAAAAAAAGTAAATAAAAATAAATAAATACAATTAAATAAGCTCATCTTAATTCAAAATCTGAATCTAGCTTAAAAAAAACACAAAGATACATTGCAGAACGTGGTGTAGTTTGCTTGGCAATGAATGAGTACACGATTCGATCCATGACCAGACAGCACTTTAAACCAAACCAGTGCTGATTAATTTGGGTTTAGATAAAACATTACTTGTGTCAGATAATTCTATTTGGCATCAAAATGAAGTTTTTACATTTGGCCTCATTTCTGGTGTTGTGGCCAGCCCATATACGTAATAATGTACATATTTCCTTTCTAGAATGGAGGGCACAGAGACTCAACCTGACCCTATAGCAGGTTGGTGGGATGACCCTGCAAAATAGCTGTATA